CTGCCGAGAATTTCCTGTCACTCCTTAGCCATTCACGCCCAACACTCAGAGTCCTGGAGGTTGGTGCAGGAACAGGCGGCGCCACCTCGGCAGTTCTCGATGCCATTTACGATGCAACAAAGCACGATGGTCCTTTGTACTCCAACTATACATTCACTGATATTTCAGCGGGATTCTTCGCAAAAGCAAAAGAGCACTTTAGGAACTTCCCTGGGATGATATACCAGACGTTCGACATATCCAAGGACCCTGAAGACCAAGGCTTTGCCGTAGAGAGCTATGACTTGATCATCGCTTCTAATGTCGTCCATGCTACCCCAAAAATATCAACCACGCTTCGCAACCTGAATAAACTTCTGGCTCCAGGAGGGTGGCTTTTCCTTACAGAGCTCTGCCCAAGAATTCCAATGACTACTTTCATAATGGGCACTCTCCCAGGCTGGTGGAATGCAGAGGATTCAAGAGAAACACCAATGGTTACCGTCTCACGATGGCATGAAGAGCTCCTGGATGCGGGATTCACTGGTGCAGACATTTTCCGCTACGACAACGAACCACCATACGAGACTATTGTTTACATCCTGTCACGGCGACCCCAGGCCAGGGCATCTCTCAATAAAGAGATTGGTTTCCTTCATAAGGGCAAAGTCCCTAGTTTGGCATACACACTTGCACAGGCTTACACGCACCAAGGCGTCAAGGTCACTTGGTTGACTTTGAACGACCTGTCTTTTTCAATAACGGACGTCATATCCTTCCTTGACCTGGATAGCCCTTTTTTGGACAGTCTTTCGGAGGATGAGTTCCGTGCTTTTCAGCGCTTTCTTTCTGGCGTCAAAGGCCACTGCCTCTGGCTGATGCCGCCGATTCAATTTGGCGGTGGTAATTCAGACCCTCGGGTTGGCCTAACACTGGGATTGATGCGAACGGTAAGGAAAGAGATCTCTACAAATTTTGCAACTCTTGAACTCGATCAGAGTGAACCTGGTGCAGCAGAGAAGATTGCGCTTGTATTCGAAAGACTCTGTCGACAATCAGGCAAGAACCCGATTAACGAGGACTACGAGTTTGCCCTTAAAGATGGAGCAGTTCATGTCGGTCGATATCACTTCCAATTCCTCCACCAAATGATGGCTGCCGATGATAGTTTCGAGCAGAGGTCTTTAGATATTGGGTGCTTTGGCATCTTTGATTCTTTGACTTGGGCCCTAGATGGGCGTGTGGGACACCTTGGGGAGCACGACATCGAAGTGGATATCCGATTTGTGGGGCTCAATTTCAGAGTAAGCCACTGTCAATACCCTTCAGCGCCTGAATGCTAAAATTGCTTGTTTAGGATATCATGATATCGATGGGACTGATGGGAGAAACTTCCGAGATCGGACTTGAAGCGGCCGGTATTGTCTGCAATGTGGGATCAGGAGTACAGAATATTCAAGTAGGAGATAAGGTGTCAGTTTTCGGAAAGGGCTTGATGGGCACAAGAAAAATAGTGCCTGCGGAGACTTGTCTTGTGCTCCCTGAAGGATTGTCTCTCGAAGATGCAGCAGCAGGTCCCTGCGTATTCTCCACTGCTCTCTACTCATTGGTGAAGTGCGGAAATCTACAGAAGGGGCAGACAGTTCTCATCCACAGCGCATGCGGTGGTGTCGGTTTGGCCGCAATCCAGATATGCCAGGCAATCGGAGCCGAGATATTCGCCACAGTCGGAAGCAAGGAAAAGAGAGAACATCTTATGGAGGAGTTCAAGCTTACTGAGGATCGTATATTTGATTCCAGAAGCGTTAGCTTCCACAAGGATATAATGAAGGCGACCGGTAATAGAGGTGTAGACCTCGTTCTGAACTCCCTTTCCGGCGAACTATTGCATGCCTCTTGGAAGTGCGTTGCCCCCATGGGAAAGATGATTGAGTTGGGTAAGCGTGACTTTCTCGGTCATGGTAAGCTGGATATGGACCTCTTCATGGGAAACCGAACCTTCATTGGTGTGGATCTTCTACAAATTGGCGAGCAGGACCCTGAACTTATTCGGAGCTTAATACAGCAATTCGCTCACGCTTTAGAGCAAGGGAAGCTCCGTCCTATCCGTCCAGTTACTGTTTTCAAAGCGTCCGATATTGCTAAAGCGTTTAGGCACATGCAGACTGGCAAACACATGGGCAAGATTCTGGTGGAAATGCCTGAGAATCCATCCGAATTACCAGTGTCTAAATTGAAGGCTAAAGGAGCCTTGTTCCGCAGTGATGCTTCTTACTTGTTGGTTGGTGGGCTTGGGGGTCTCGGGCGTGCAGTGGCAAGATGGATGGTGGAAAAAGGTGCCCAGCATTTGCTATTCATGTCCCGGTCCGGCTTGGAGACAACCAAGGCTCGGGAATTCGTCCAGGATATGGAGTCTCAGGAAAACTGTCACATTCAGGTAGTGACAGGTGATGTCACCAATATTTACGATGTTGAACGAGCCGTGTCTGCCGCGGTACGACCTATAGCAGGAATTATGCAGTTGTCCATGGTGCTACGAGTGAGATTCCCGTTACCCTTGTATACACTCTCATATGGCATTCAACATGCTCTTGTTGTCGAAGAATACTTATTAATTTGTCTGTCAAACAGGATCAAACATTGGATGACATGGCATACAAGGAGTGGACCGAGGCACTTGCTCCTAAGGTCCAAGGCACGCGGAATGTTCATCAGGCGACGCAGGATTGCTCTCTGGATTTCTTCGTCCTGCTCAGCTCTGTCTCTGGTACTGCCGGGCATATCGGCCAAGCAAACTACGCGGCTGCTAATACCTTCTTGGACGCTTTTGTCACTTATCGTCACTCAAAGGGGCTACCAGCTAGCGTACTCGACATTGGTTTCATGGGAGATATCGGTGTTATCGCTGAAACGTCTCATAGAGCTAGGGAAATGGTAGAAATGAGCTCTTGGGAAATACTGGAAGAGCACGATCTTCTCAAGGCCCTGGAAATACAGATCATGGGGAGTGCACCCCAACTGGCCTTAGGGATGGGAACAACAAAGCCGGTGTCTGAGATGGAGAATGGTGTTACAGTTGGGCAGGATGCTCGTTTCCTGGCGTGGCATAACATGCTGACTGCTTCGGACGGCGGGAGCGCAAGCCAAGATAACGAGCTCAAAACGTTCGTAAACGCGATCAAGCGCAATCCCTCTCTTCTCTATGATCCAGCTACAGAGACCAAGATTACGCTCGAGATCGGTCGAATGGTTGCCTCGAACATGTCCTATCCCGATGACATGCCGTATGAGGAGCTCTGTGAGATTGCAATTGACTCATTGATGACCATTGAGATACGCAGCTGGTTCCGACGAAATGTTGGCGTTGAGGTATCACTCGCTCAGATATCAAAGGCACAGAATGTCAAAGGACTCGGCGCTATTACCATGCAGGTCCTCCGTGAGAAGCACAAGTCCGGGGAGCTTGAGAACGCGAAGGGGTCTCTTGTTGGTAACGGCAAAGATGATGTTGATGAGAGCGTGCTCTATCGGGCAGACTTGGAGTTGGCCAAATCTCTGGAGCCGATATCAGAGCACGTCCCGTGTTGGCATTCCGAGTCTGAAGGACGGGTATTTGTGACCGGATGCACCGGATTTCTGGGTGCCTTCTTTCTCTCTACTCTAATTAGGCACCCGCGAGTGAAGGAGATTGCATGCTTGGTGCGAGCGCCAGATGCCGCAGCAGGCTTGGCACGTATCAAAGAGAACATGGAGCACTACGGACTGTCATTGGACTCTGAATCTAAAGTCATCGTGGTACCTGGCGATCTCACCGACTCGACACTGGGACTCGGGCAGGAGAAGTACGAACATTTCGCTCAATGGACCAGTGTTATTTTCCACCTTGCCGCCCAATGCAACTACATGCCTTCATACTCGGAACTCCGTGGCGCCAATATCCATGGGTTTTCGAATATTCTTCGGTTCGCCAATACGAAGCGCCTCAAGCCCGTGCATTATACCTCCAGCATTTCAGCCTGTGGAACATCTGCATATCTCGAGGGTAGAGAGCTTATCGGCGAGAATGAAAGACCAGCCCTCAACACTACGGACTCCGAAAGAAAGCTCGTCGGTTACAGTGAGACCAAGATCGTGGCCGAAAGCATCGCCTGGGATGCCATCGCAAACGGCATGCCAGTAACCATCCATCGCCTACCCGTCATTTCCGGCCACAGCAAAACGGGAGTCGCCAACCCCGGGGACGGTTTCCAACATATGATGGTCAGCGCCATCCGCGTTGGATGCTACCCCTCTCCCCCGGCCGCCCGCTGCCAGATGATCCCAGTCGACTACGCCAGCGCAGCGATGCTGGAAATCGCGCTTAGCAGTCACCACAGCCATGCCTATAACCTTGTCCTCCCTGACCAAACCCATACGCTGACATGGGATGAGGTTCTAGACACGGTGGCACATTTTACGTCCCCCCCGTTGAAACGGGTATCGGCTTTGGAGTGGGCTGATATCGTGGCAACGCATGGGAAACATCATTTCAAAGTCGCATCGACATTCTTGCAAGATAAAATTCGGGAATCGTTGGTGTACTGGGAGGCGGAGACGATGACGAAGACTGTGTATGAGAATGCGAATAGTCGGCGTGTTTTGCTTGCGTCGTCGGATATGCCGGAGTTGCCTTCTATGCCGGAGCTGTTGAGTACGTACTTTAAGGTCTGGCAGAAGGAGGAGCAGAAGCACCACCGGTGATTTCGGGGTTGATGGGTTACGTGGGGTGATGGTGAGGAGGGTAAGGACAAAGTCAATGAAGTATCTAGCATAGGAATAAATTGTTGATTAGGATATAATAGGAATGAGACGATGATCACTATAAATTACATTAGTAACCTATCAATTAGGTTGCCAAGAACTACTGTACAGACAATTTGGCGGGAATATTAGCAACACCCAGAGATATTGGAGTGATATTTGAAGGATCGAGGCCAAGTAAACAATAATACCAATCACTTACACAAGCACTGATTGTCACGATGTTCGTAACATACACCGTCGAAACCTCAGTATACACATTGTCTGCAGGCTGCAAGCTCGTTGGAGAGGCCATGGCAGCAGTTACGGGACATATTGTAGTGCCCACGGCGATGGTCTCGGTAGTGAGGAATGTAGTCTTATCCGTAGTAGGACAGTCGGTCAGTGAAGTTGGACATGAAGTCACAGTGCGGACTTGGGTGGTAAGGATTGCAGAAGTGGTAGAGAGTCCTTCAAGTGAGGAAGCAGACTCGGAAAGGCTGCTGTTGTGGGTATGGATAGCTGGCTGCGGAGAGGTTGAATGGCTCGATAGAACGGTACTTTCGTTCGCAAATGAAGGCATAAATGGTACCGATGTAGATGCCTGAGGAAGTTTGGTTAACTCCAGGCTCGACGATGCGTGGACAGAGGCGGAGGATGCTGTGTATTGGCTTGATGATTGCATCGGTACCGAAGAGCTTGGATGTAGAGATGATGAAGCCGAGCTTGATGCGATTGCAAGACGCGAGGTGGTAGACATCGCAAATCTTGAACTCGGGGTAAATGTAAGAGTATCGCTGGATGAGTGCCAATGTGAGCTGCTGAGTCGAATAGCGATGGAGGAACTTCCGGCAGCGGATGACTGGTTCGGCATGGATGACTTATCCGACGTCATGAAAGATGAAGAGTCAGAAATAGATGCAGGTACAGAGGCAGACGAGAACTGTATCACTGGTGTTGATGTGGACGTCGACGAGGGAGTAGTGGTTCCCAAGGTGACCCGAGTGATGGAAATTGCGGGGATAGAACTGGATACTGCGACTGAAGATGTGGAAGATGGCACAACTGGCACAGAACTAGTCTGAGTGGATGATGTATCAAGTGTAGTGATTGTTGACGTGTATGTCACAACAGACACGATGGTGGATGTTTGCGTCGAAAGGCCCGTCCAGATAGAAGTCTCGGTAACCGTGCAAGGATTGGTGGTGAAGCGCATCGCCGCCCTGTAAGAGGCAGCTGAAGTAGCAGTAAGTGAGCCAGTTAGGAGGTAGCAAGCACGGATTGCCGTATTGTAATTGACGCCATTACACTCAGTACTTAATTGATAGCATATCACCTCGCAGTCAAATAGCGATGCGTAATATGCCGAGGTGACAGTCGTCCCTCCCTCCAGAGATACGCCCGAACACCATTGTTGGAACCAGTTGCCGGCGAGAGACCAAGCACCATCCAAGGTACAGAATGGGTCCGCATATGACTGGGTAGCACAGGTGGTAGTGGTTGTGGTTAGAGCTGAAATACTGGTAATTGTGCTGGTCACTGTGTCGATATAGGTAGACGTCAAAGTCTCAACTGAGACCCTGGCTGCTGCTTCTGGCTGGACGGTCAGAGCCGCAGTCAATTGAGTCAGGGGTAGCAGAACAGTCAGGAATCTTGCTATTATTCTCCCCATGATTCCAATGGCCGAACTGATCAAAAAAAAGTAATGGTGTGTTTTTGGGGAGAATAGAACGTCTTGCGGTGCGAAAGAATGACTGAAAGGAATGAACGGCAACAGCCTCGAGTGTCATCTTCCTTAGTGGGCACCCGTTCTTTTATAGCCACAATCATGATAGAGACATACGAGGTACTATTGGTGGGTACCTGGCCTTGGACTGGGCTAGTGGAATATTTCAGCTGCTAACGTGATATTTGGAACTGTAGAAGCAGGTTTGGATATAATAGCCGACGAAACGTTTTAGCGTCAAGAGGTGGCAAAAGCAGAGTGTCAACCTCAAGGTGGTAATTAAATCAAAGTACTGAAAAGGCAAAAACCGAAGGTCTAAGAAACATCATTTGAGAAAGATATGGGCCTCAATAGGTGGCACTTTCGCCGGATAATCAACATGTAGGGTTCGATTTCCATAGCATCTCCGGTATCGCTGCGGGCTAAGATGGTCATGACAAGAGTCCAGAACAGACTGTGAGTATAAAAACAGTACTGTAACAGGCCTAGTCTCTCAATAAGCCGATCAGGACTTCAAGTAAGCAGCAAGCATAAGTGGCTCGTAATTATAAGCATATTCAAGCTCAAGCATAAAACATGACCCAAGTGGGTCGGTCACCAACGACCAGAGATGGTTGTGCGGGAGCTGCGATGTCCGCCCGCAGCTACAGAAAAAGGATACCGCGATCATGCAACATAAGTGATTCTCCGCCTAGACTTTACCATTCCCTGCAACTTACTTCATCCATATATTGGCTGGAGAATCCTTTTCCGAAATGCAACCATGCCGATCGCGTTGACCCCAAGTCAGCGAGCGACAGCTCCGCCGATATCGGCCCGTGGCTAGCCATCCACAGCAGCTATAAAGGAAGCAACGAATACATCCCATTCTATTTCTCATCAACAAATCTTTATTCATACTTCAGAAAAAAGAGCAAAATGCCTGAGACAGCAACATACACTCACGGCCATCATGCCTCCGTGCTCCGGTCCCACGGACAACGGACCGCCCTCAATTCCGCTCAATACCTTCTGCCGCACCTTCAACCCCACATGAAGATCCTAGACATCGGCTGTGGTCCAGGCACCATCACCGTGGACTTGGCTACTTATGTCCCGAACGGTTACGTTACGGGCCTGGAAATGGTCGACGATGTCTTACCAGGCGCCCGACAGCTCGCCGAATCGCGAGGAATCAACAACATCGAGTTCGTCACGGGTGACGCCAACAACCTGGCTTACGCCGATGAATCATTCGATGTGGTTGTCTGCCACCAAGTTCTACAGCACGTGGGAGATCCTGTGAACGTTTTGAAGGAGATGCGCCGTGTCTGCAAGACTGGTGGTATTGTCGCCGCGCGCGAGTCAGACTACTCGGTCTTTGGGTGGTACCCAGAACTCCCTGGACTGCGACGCTGGCTGGAGCTGTATGATCGGGTAGCTCGAAAGAATGGAGGCGAGCCCAATGCAGGTCGGTACTTGCATGTCTGGGCACGTCAGGCTGGATTTGAGAAGTCGAAGGTCGATTGTACTGTGAGCGCGTGGTGCTTTACGAAGCCAGAAGAGGTTCAGTGGTGGAGTGGAACATGGCAAGAACGCGCGTTGAAGTCGGCCTTTGCTAAGGGAGCCCTAGAGAATGGATTCGCGACGTTGGAGGAGCTCGAGAGAATATCTAATGTTTGGCGTCAGTGGGGGGAGGATGAGGATGCTTGGATATCCATTCCCAGTGCGCAGATTATCTGTCGTAAATAGAGATATCATATCTTATCAGTTATCAGTCGGCGGATAGAGTCGGCCTTATGGCCTTCGAACTCCGAGGCATTTCTTAGGAATAGATGTGGCTACTATACGCGTTATCCACTCGAGACTTTGGTGTGCATATTGGCTTAGGTAATTTTTGAGTACCTAGGTGCCAATTCTTGTAATTTAATTTGTCTGCCCGTAGTACTGTGCATGCAAAGCTTCCATCCTAGATAACTAATTCAACATGATGCCGGATTGGCCATCTTCGTTCTTCGGCGATTCCTATTGGTCGGTTCGCATTTCCACACTCGTGATTGGCTGACCAACCATTGCCCCATCTGTGCTTGAGTTATGCCTCAGAAATTCTGGATCTAGGTCTACAATAGGGACAGATGCTTGGAGAAAAACGAGAGATCCAGTCGCTGCTGAATTCTACGTCCCCCATAAACGACGTATAAATATCTGCTTTACATCCCCCCTCGTCTCTTCTTGTTTTCATCCCGTTTACTACCCCTCATCTATCCTTCAAATTGCCTATATCCAATTTTACTACTAGGAGTAAGTCTACTTTTACATCAATCAACCAGCGCAACAATGTCCACCCTCCGCAACCTAGGCCACAATGGCCCCCTGGTCAACGCCGTCGGCCTCGGTACCATGAGCATCGCCGGTGCATACGGCCAACAAAACACCCGGGAAGAGAAGCTCGCCTTCCTAGACCACGCTCACTCCATTGGACAGCGATTCTGGGACACGGCTGACATCTACTTCGACAGCGAAGCCATCATCGGGGAGTGGTTCAAGCGGTCTGGCAAGCGCGAAGACATCTTTCTAGCAACAAAGTTTGGTCTTAGCTATGATGCCAGCATGCAGCAAAGTATTCGATCTGACCCGGAGTATGTCCGAATGGCATGTGAGAGGAGCCTGGAGAAGTTGGGTGTTGAGACTATTGACTTGTATTATTGTCATCGGGTGGACGGAGTGACTCCTATTGAGAAGACTGTGGAGGCTATGGTTCAGTTGAAGAGGTAAGCTATAACATTAAATGTGCTATAATACGTTGCTTACATGAGATGTCGGATACAGAGAAGGGAAGATTCGCTATCTAGGTCTTTCCGAAGTCTCCGCTGCTACTCTGCGTCGTGCACATGCTGTTCATCCCATTTCAGCACTACAGATCGAGTACAGTCCATTCTGCTTGGACATCGAGTCTCCCCAGTCTGACGTGCTTCGTACATGTCGCGAGCTGGGCATTGCTGTGGTGGCGTATAGTCCCATGGGTCGGGGATTATTGACGGGTCAGTTCAAGTCGAGAAGTGACCTTGGAGAGCAGGACTTTCGATGCATGATCCCAAGGTATTCTGAAGGCATGGACAGAATCCTGAATATAGTGGAGAGGTTCAGGGAGATTGGAGATGCACATGGGTCTACGCCGTCGCAGGTTGCGCTGGCGTGGCTGCTTGCTCAAGGTCCGGAGGTTGTTCCCATTCCAGGTACCCGGAGTGTTAAGTACCTAGAAGAGAACGCTGCAGCGGTCGATGTGAGATTGAGTGACGAAGAGGTTGCTGAGATTAGGGATCTGGTGCAGAAGGCCAACTTTGTGGGAGATCGTTATCCTGAAATGTAAGTTTCTTGGTGATTGAAAAGCTACTGGCTGGTAACCTTGACTAACTGCGTCTAGTATGCCAATATTTCCTGATACTCCGGAACTATGAACTATATCATCCTGACTGCGGAATATGACTTGGATAATATTTTGCAGATTCGTAATCAATATTTAATGTTTGCAATGATCGATATAGCTAGTCAAAGAACTCAATGTGCTGTTACCAAACTGTGGCACAGATGCCCAAATAAACGGACTTCAATCCAGAAAATGAAGTTAATAGCTTCTGTTCCCCAAGAAAACCTGAGTTCCTTGTTTAACGACTAATCACTTTTGATTCTTCAACTGCGACAAAACCGCGCTGTTTCTTAGAGTATCTTCCAGTGTACTCAAGGGTTCCAACAAAACCTATATAATGTGCAACGGCAGTTAGTATGGTTCATAAGTACGAGCAAGCATAAGCAAATCTCATTAATGACTTGCCTTGTGGCTTTCCTCGAATCCGGCCCCGCCGAAGTATCCATAATCCTGGATATACTGAGCGGCCTGAGATACACCCTCACAAACAACGTCGGGAAATCCCTTGGCGGCCATTCCGGCCTTGAAGGTCTCCTTATCCACCTGTTGGAAGCTTATATCTATACCCGTACCCGTTGCGATGGCGATAATATCTTCGAAAGTATACTCCTTTCCGGCGACATTAAAGTTTTGGCCGAGCGACTTGCCAGGATTCAGGAGGATACCCTTGACAAACTTACCCAGGTCAGCAGTAGGGTCAATGATGGGCACTTTGGTCTGGGCGCTTGTTGGTTCAGGGAACGCTAGCACGTATGAAGGGGGTGTTATTGGAAGGGGTGTCAGTATCTCGAAGAAAAAGGTAGCATAGATGGCAAGAGTGATAATGGTGTGCGGGATCGAGAGTTGACGGATGTAGTCGTCAACACGAGCTTTGCTGTCGAAATGCACCACGCCAGTGAGTTTATGATTGGTGACTATCCTTCATTAGCCACAAATCACAACAATACGAAAACGACACAATGGGTGAAGAGAAGAAAGTGACCTACCCCGTGAGATGCCAGGTAAGCTGCTCCAGATAAGATGCTTGACATCCAGCTCCTGTTGGTGTTAGCATATCTCCACAGAGGTACTAGTGTGTCCTACCTTAGCAATATCAGCCACGTTCATGCCTTGTCTAATCTCGGCGGCAGCATCAAAAGTCTCCCAGAAGTTGGTGACCGCAAAGACAGCATAAGCATCTTTGAGAGCTAAGCGAAGAGAGTCTTTATCTTCAAGGTCGGCCTATCGTCGTCTTTATCAATGACCTTGCACCGCAAGTCCAGTGGGGTAATTGGGTGTGACCCACCTTCACTAACTCCGCACCATGCTGAGCTAGAGTTTTGGCAGCCTGCTTGGAAGGGTCTCTGGTGATTGCCCGGATGTTGAACTGCTTTGATGCCACAGGATCGGCCAGGATTGCTCGAGCAACAGAGCCACCTTGAATGCCCGTGGCACCGAACACAACGAGGAGCTTCTTGTCTTCGGACATATTGAGAAGCAGAGGTCCTGTAATGTGAGGTAGCAGAAGAGAAGTAAAAGGGGTGTGGAGTTGTGGGAACTGGTTATAAGCAGTAATTGTACTCTATGAAATGTCAATGAGATGGTGCTTTTTGAGAGCCTGGAGACTGTTGCTGTAGTCAGGACAGGAGCACATATTTATATCTGGCACCCTTATCCCCTACAGATGAGCTAAATCGTTCTGTATTTCTAATAATGCTAAATGATCTATGGAAAAGACCAGCATCCATCGTCCGAGACAGAAGACTCAGAGAGGGTTATATCACTAGCTGCACTGTGATTGGCTCTCTCGCAATACCTTCCAAAAGGGCTTAGCGCTGACAGAACATGTGATGGGGTATCTTCTTCCTGTTGTTCTCCCTCGTCTTTCTTCTCAGTAATGCTTTACGCCTGAGTTACTTATTTGCCCACATCATAATCTTTATCTTTGTGCAGCAATTCCTATGTGATGTAGCCTTGCCAAATACCGTTGCATGAACGACATCGATCTTACTTACCCACGGCCGGTATCGGACCAGCCGATACTATCGGAATGGTCCGCCACGGGAGATTCTCGAGAGGCTGCCAGGTCTGTAGAAAGAGAAAGATCAAGGTACTGCTCATCGGACTCACTTTCTATTCATATTTTTATCATTAAATTCTCTTATACTTTACGTCAATGCTTATTTAGTGAAATCAACAGTGCGACCGGGCGCGACCGCATTGCAACCAATGCCTAAAGTCTGGGTGGAAATGTCCACAGTATGGTGACACTATAGAGCGGATGTTTCTTCATCACAACCCAGGAAATCCAGACATAAACAAATGTCCTAAAGTAACGACTCTCTCGCCAATTTCATGTATTACGGCAAGGATACAAAGTCCTAAACTGCCAGTAAATCTCGTCCCACCAACTGCGAGCATATTAGGCGGAAACATAGTCCAATCCACGGAATCTCATGCAATCGGTTTCTTCATGTCGGCTCACACCTTCCATAACACCGGCCTCATTCGGGGCCATTTCGAGTATTTATCCACATTTAACGATGATGTCATGAATGAGCAACGAGTTGTCGCGAGCCTCCGTGCTGTTGCGCTAGCAGCTTATGCTACCAAGTTTCAACATGTTGCTCTTCTCAAGAAAGCCAGACAGTATTACGTTGCAGCGCTTCGACATATCAATGCAGCCTTATTGTCCTGCCATGAAGCAGCAAAGAACGCTACCATTATCTCGATTCTGTTCCTAAACACCTTTGAGGCTCTGACTTGTGAGAGTGAGGACTTCCCCTATCAAAGAGAGACTCACTTAAAAGGTGTAGCGTCGATATTGGACATTCGAGGGGTGGGACTTGTGCAATCTCGTCCCGGGCTTCAGTTGTTTCGTCAAACCCTCCTCTGCATTTCAGTTACATGCTTAATGCGCTCTTTTCAAATACCCATGGGATTGGTAAAGCTTCACCGCCACACTGCTGCTTACATGGATACTAGTGATCCTGCTTGGAAATTATCAGATATCATGATAGAACTGTCCTATTTCCGCGCAATGGTCAAGGACCGTACGCTCTGTGATCCGGAGAAAATAATTCCATCTGCCAAAGAAATAGACCGCAACCTCTGCTCGCTCGCTGATAACATGCCCGAGGACTGGCGATTCCAGTTCATGGAACTAGAGACCACATCTGAACTCGTCATGGGAATGCAGCTTCACATGTATCCCGATGCATGGGTCGCAGGTGTGTGGAACAACATCCATACATGTCGGTTACTTTTGCATGGTGAGATCAAGCAGCAATTGGAGAGTGTGCTGGACACTTCTCTATACGATGCTGTCCAGTATCAGCACTCAGTCATAATAATGCAACAGCTCGTTTCAGACATTTGTGCTTCCGTGCCTCAATACTGTGGTTACCTACCAGTAAAATCTGGTAGTGTATCATATACGCAGACAGTCAGCAATGGGATCCCCGCTATCGCTGGTATCTACCTCCTATTCTGGCCTCTTCTATATGCCGGCCAGATGGCTATTTCGGAATATCAGCGAGTTTGGATCATTGATCGCATGCGCTATATCGGCGAAACAACCGGTATTCAGCAAGCCTTTGTGTTTGAGGCTATACTAAAGCGGGGTGTGGACCCTTTTCAATAGACAAATGCCGAGAGCAGGGGTCTTGTCGGCTCTGATTGTGACGATCACAGTATCGTAAGAGATCATTCGGGAAGGCCATGGGTGTTTCGGGAAAATTGTATGTATGCTATTGCTGGATGGAATGGATATGAAATGTATAAACACGACAACGGTTCGGACAGATAGAACTGTGTAATCTTCTTAGAACCTCAAAGATAATGGCATCCAGGACTAGTCCTAGCACTAAGGATTATTGTTGCAGCCACCCCATCCGAAATAATTGGGCAGCAGGTGGAATGGAGTCCAATAATTGGTCAAAGCCTCAAAATGTGGGCCGATGATATGTACGTAGCCGATCGAATGAAAAACAAAAAGGAAATCTCCCCGACTGGGAGTCGAACCCAGGTCTCCCGCGCTTGTTCCCGAAAGGGATTGACAAGCGGAAATCATGACCGTTAGACCATCGAGGATTGGATGAAGTATAATATGCTAACAAGTGTACTATATTCCAGGCTGAAGCTGCTCTTAAGTTTACCCTGATAGTGGCCGGTCGGCATGGTGAGCTTCACTGTGAGCTCTCTATGAGCATACTAAAACATATCACTTCATGCACGGGATACTGAATCTCTTTATTTTCTATTAGCTAGAAATTGGTCTGATTCCCTCCATCATGTTATGCCGGCTTTTTAACGCGTTTACAAGGTTGCTACATGTTATTCGTGCTATGTCAACTCCCGTTGAGAAGATATATATGCTGCCACCGAACACCTTGAACCCATCGTTGCGAAATCTGGTAGGGCATCACAATCAATATATACCTTCCACTTACGTATGTTACCAGTCAGAAATATTCCATCTGTAACTTCCACTGGTCACAGTATATCTTAAGGTTAATGACGTTGACAACCACCCAAAAAAAGACGAACAGTAGACTGTACGGTAATGGTCCCTCTTTGCCTTGAAGGGAGCCGGAAAATAACTCAACATGGACCTAATGGTTCTATGCGTCACCCTCGCTACCAGAGCCATTCTTGTCTAACCTTTGCAAATATTAGGCTTGCGAACGGGGATCTATCTAAACCGCGGAAAACGAAGCAGACAAATTCACGGTAAACATGGGGAAAAAGATCGAACGAATATCACAGAACCCCCCTGGGGATGCTGTCAGAAATTCTTAGATCACATTTTGAGGCCTCGAGAATACTGCCTGTTTTGCGACCGCATCGGAGAATGAAAATCCATACTAGCAGCGAACGTCTACCCAGATGAATGCAGAAGTTCTTCACAATGCCAATACAACTACAGCTCCAAGGGCGCTGATTATTAGCGGTATTCTACTGCTTGTAGCGCTGGCCTTATACGTTCTTCGAATGTACACACGCTTTCGTCGAGTATATAAGATCAGAGCCGAGGATCTCATATTATCGCTAGCAGTGGTAGTTTTACCTCATTTCAAGCACCGAGAAGCAGTTCTGACTATCTAAATAGGCCTTGGAGATTGTAGCATACTCCATGATGGCCGCAGCAGCTTCCTATGGCCTTGGTCGATACGACAAATATCTTACACCAGGCAACAGAGCCCAAGCCCTGCGCTTCGTCTTCACATACGAAATGACGGGTATATGGGCAGGTGCACTGTTACGAGTTTCAATAGCAATAATACTTATATCACTACACCGAGCTAAGATATGGCACGCTATCTTGTGGGGTACAGTATCTATTCAGCTTGCAGCAGCGCTCGCTTCGACCATCTGTCTCTTTATCCAGTGCAGACCCTTACGTGCCATGTGGGACATCGTCCCCGACGCAAGATGCTGGGCTCCGCCTCAACTACACATATATGGCTTTCTGTATACTGGTAAGTATCTAACATGCCATGAATTTTCATAAAGGCACGATATAAAGCTAATAGAACACCCTGGCTGGCAGGTATCGGCATCCTTACCGACGTCATATTCGTTATCATGCCATTACCCATAGTCTGGAGACTTCATCGACCTCTACGCGAGAGGCTCATCATCGCTTTTCTACTGTCTGTAATACTCTGTGCCACGGCTGCTGCCAGCGTAAAGCTCTACTATGTACGGGTCATTGTGCTTGAAGGAGAGCAGCTCCGGTCACTAGTGGCGCCAACCTTATGGAGCAGGATTGAAGAGATCGCCCTCATTGCTGCCGCTTGTGCACCTTCGCTAAAGTCCTCGACTGAAGATGGTCTACGTCAGTGTTGGCATTGTTGTGCAAGACATCGTCAGCAAGAGCGATCGAGCAGTTGTGTATCTGAATCGGATCGTTCCAGTTTACGCGCCTTTCTGGATCAGTATGCGTCTGCGTCATTGCGTGTGCCGGAGCGAGCGTACCGGAAACTTGAGGGAGTCTGAAACCTTGATGCTATCGGATTATAAACTTGTGATATCTGCGATGACCTCGGTGAGTGCCTGGACAATGGCGGGATTTTGCTGGTTGTCCCAAGCTTGGCAGGACAAGGGAGCGGGGGATCGGAAAGTTGAACCAGATATCTGCAGTGAGTTGCTTATGAGCTGTAACACTATCCTCACCGATTGACCTTTTCTTGACTTCGAGGATGAAGTGGACAAGCCTACCCGGAGACTCGGTATTTAAAACCGGGTATGGTATGACACATAATCGATGGGGAGAATTAATTCGAGATACGTACATATCTAAGGACAGCTCAATCTGGAAAAAGGATATAAACCAACCAAAGACAACCTCTATCAATGCAACATACCAAATATCCTGGGGAGAAACTGACCAGATATCAAAACGCGTCAAGAGGAACCAGTGTGTTCCCCAATATAGTATGCAATAAAGCATATCAATCCAGTCCTTCCATCATGGGGTAGTTTCCGACAACCATCGCGAGGTATCCTGCAAATTCAAGTTTTTCTGCCCCCAGGCCTTATAGGTCCTGATCACTGAAGCTCGGATTCCGGGAAAGAGGACTCCTTGGAACTTGTGTGATTGCACTCTTGTCCTCACAAATACCATCATTAGCCTCCTTAGCAGCATTGCCAGTGCTTGGTACCGGTGCGAAGGGGTGCGAAATGCTCTCACGGACAGGATGAGCGGTGCCGGTTTGGATATCGCCGTTGTCGGTCACTCGGTGAGCTGCGGAGAGGGCATAATCTCCTGAATCGAAGTAGGTCCGTTTCTGATTGTTTTCAGCCGTGGCCAGAATGTAATACGTTGAAAATGTACCTTTGCCTGCTGGCCAAGACTGCCTCCACAGGGCAATCTTCCGTAGGTAGTGAGGATACGCTTGTCGCGCTCAGAAAGCGGCTTTTCGGAACCATGAGCATATGTTATTCATACCAATAAATGGGAGCGTCATACATACCCGATCATGCACTTCGTTGTCACCTTTGTGGTCCATTCAGAGCAGAGATTGTAAGGTGCCATAGAAGCATATGGTGCAAGTACTTGGCCCTCGGGCGAGATGTAAGTCCCTAATGTTCTAGCTAAGATTCCCATCATCTCTTAGTTTATGAATGACGTATCGGCATGTGACGAAGTCCCAAAATGGTGTTGTTCCATGCCCGAAGCCGCTTTGGTTATCGGCTGTCAGCCTTCGTTCCATGGAACCAACCACTCTTCCAACGGATAAGTTGCACGAGGAGTAAGGCATGTTCACGTCTAGGTGTACTGTGGTACATGGTCAAAGATTGATTGGGGAACCTATTATGAGTGGACGGAGATATTAGACTGTCAGCCGGAAGCCAAGCTATGGCGTGCGATGAGCTTTCCATATTGCGAGGCTAAGCATGATGACAGGGATTGGTCGCATCTTAGGTAACAGTAACTCACTGAAATAAATCTAATATCTGATTGATAGCCATTGTTCCAATTACTTACAATACAAACCAAATAGTGAGGGCGTCAAAAACAAAAACATACAACAGAAGGGATTCGCTGGTGGTCACCCACCCAACTACTAACCTCCCGGCGTGTGGCTTAAGTACGGCTGAGCGGACGGGAAGCCCTGTTTTCCACACCCTATGGTCGTATGTACTTATTGTTCTTTGTAGGACGATTATATTCATAAGATGCTTAATATGCTCTACGCTAAAGCAGCTTTTCGGATACTCGGACCCTGCATTGTCAGTGTCGCATGTGTGGTACTTATCGCTTATCGGAAATTTTCCGTTACATGACGGAATGAACTAATTTCTGACTCGGTTGATTTTGGCTCGGCAGATCATCGGCTGATATTTTCCCCTGTAGAATAAGTTACATCTCATCCATTTCCGTTCTCTCCCTCCGTTTCCTCATTATCTTGAATTTTCCTAGGTCACCTTCTATTCCAAACAATATGGCTGCCAAAACCTTCATCGTCACCGGTGCCTCGAGAGGTACGAAACCAACACAACATATTGCTCATGTCGGCATCTAAATATGCGACCTTCGACGCTAAATATCCCACCCATGGTATAGGTATCGGTCTTGCAACGGCTAAGTTCCTCCTCTCGGCACCTCAATCCCACAATGTGGTGGTGATGGCCCGTAGCGCGGAGCCCCTTCAGAAGCTGAAAGACCAGTACCCCACTCAAGTTGAGGTCCTGACCGGCGATCTTGCGGACTTCTCGCTCGGCCAGAAGGCCGTTGACCTGGCCTTGAAGGCCTTCGGTCGTCTCGATGGCTTGGTTCTCAACCACGGCATGCTGGGCCAGGTTGCCAACGTCGCGGAGGCGGATCCGAAACAATGGCAGCATGGATTTGATGTCAATTTCATTAGCTTGGTGGCTTTCGTAAGTTACGCCCACGGGTTTACTTGATAGAGAAAAGGGCTCTGGGTTACTGGCTACTGACGCATTGGAACAGATCAAAGCTGGACTCCCCGCCCTTCGAGAATCCAAGGGTAAGATCGTCTTCACGTCTTCCGGCGCATCCGTCTCGGGATTTAAGGGATGGGGTCTGTATGGCGCGACCAAGGCAGCCATGAACCACCTGGCCTTGAGCCTTGGCGAAGAAGAGCCCGATGTAACGTCCGTGTCCATTGACCCGGGTTTGGTTGATACCGAGATCCAGAGACAGATTCGTGAAGATCTTGCTACTACTATGGACCGCCAATTCCATTCTGTCTTTACTTCTGTTCACCAGGCTGGAAACCTTCTGAAGCCTGAGCAGCCTGGTAATGTCATGGCTAAGTTGGTGATTGATGCGCCGAACTCGCTGAGTGGCAAGTACCTGACGTAAGTTCTATTCTTGTTCACCTATAGCATTTTCGTGATATGGTAAAACTGACGAGAGATAGGTGGAACGACGAATCTCTGGAGGCTTTCCAGTAGACTATATAGAATAGACCTGTATACATCGCGATCAGTATATACCATCAAGGATTTCTAGACGAAACATTTTCTTACAGTTTATCTACATTTTACTAGACCACTATGTAGTGGCTGAGTTGAATTAAGTTTTGAATTAAGTAAGAAAGAATTTGAGTAAGTGTAGGATAAAACGGTGGAGTCGAAGTTGTTAGGGACTGTCGATTTGTTACCTGGATAGAGCACCTAGAGCAGAGCCAGACAACCTTAATCAAGAAGATTCAGGGAATTCATGACCAAAAATAGCCTAAAAGCCAAAAGCCCCGCATTATGTCATTGGACCCTGCACTAACGAAGTCAGTGTGTGTAGGTTCTAAAATTCCATCAACAATTCTCTGCCTGCAAGGCAACCAGTCGCCCACCATGCATCTAGATCACAAATTACCATGGAACACAGCAGCCGCACACATAAATATCATAAGATGCAATCCTCATTTCACACCTCGACGCACCGACTTCTTCGCCCGAAATAAACCCACGGAGTCATCCGACCTGAACCACTTTCGTCGCACCCTTACCAAGACGATCCGCGAATTCTCACGCACCGAAGAAACCAAGCCACTCAACCCTGTCCCTCTGGACAGCCTCATATCTGATGATCTATTATCCTACCCAGAGAGCCGATTCGGCCTCGGGCCCCATCAGAAAAACTCCGCCCTGCATAACCCCCTCTCTACCAAGCACCGACACATCCAATACTGGATGGACAGCGCTAGGTCTAGCGACGACAGTTACCCTCCAAGCTACTGCAGCGGAGACGGGGACCTCGCCGACGCAGTCAAAATGCTGATCATCATATCCGCAAGCGCGAGAAAGAATGATCCCCTATCAAGGCAAATGTCACGAGAAGCTTTTTCCGCTCTGATAACGCTCTCGCGCCATTCCCAGGTACCTTTGCATACCCTGGCACACATCCATTGGGGTCATGCGTTTGGGGTGGAGCTCGTTGCGGAGCCGGCATTGACGATCTATATCATGATCAATCTGATGGATGCTATGCTTGCCGAGAAACGGTTGAAAGGGGATGATGGGAACGTAGCTTCACTTATGGAAACGCAAACATTTCAGTACTGGGCGCGTCATGCGCTTGCGGACTATGATTACCCGACGCAGAATGTTCCGCATCGGGAGTTTTGGAATCACTTTGGGGTTACGGATATGTGGCCTTTGCAGCAACGATGTGAGGAGGGTCTTGATGCAAGCTTGAAGGATGAGGGTATCACTGATCCGTTGAGGGGGGAGAGTGAAGATATTAGAGTCCGCTTGAAGGAGTATTTGAACACCTGTTTCGCTATATTGTACATATATGATATGCTGCTGCGGGAATGGTATGGGGAGGAAGACGCTGACGAGATGTGGAATTGCTGTATTGGTTCCCTCTTTGAGTCTTGGGGTTGCAAGGTCTAGATTTGACTTCAACTGAGCTGCTAGTGGCTCTTTTCCATGAATCTTGAGTCTTGCTCGTGGAGAATTACTTTAAATATCCTGAAGCTACTACACCAAGCCGTCCGATACCAACAAAGCCTAATCATCCGAAACCGTATATACCAGCTTCCTGCCGCTAACGGTGCCGTTCTTCAAATCCTCCAGTCCATCAAGAACCTTCTTTAAACCCCCAGCTCGCTTATCAACAACGAGTGGTTTAATCTTCCTCTCAGACCAAAGAGTGGATACTATGCCAGCCCATCTCTGGGCAAATTCAAATTCTGCCGGCATCCTGGGGATAACCATGCAATCTGGTCCATACTCGAATGGCTCACCAAGAGCCGTGCAGCAATTGACGAAAGTGGACTTCACGTCTACACGACTAATTTCTGCTGGAAGGAGAGAATGATACAAACCACCTTCATCACTGATGGCTTTTTCGCAGATGCGAACCGACTCCTTCGTTGACACAGCATCACATACAATTCTCAATGTATTGCTTGTATGCTCTCGGATCTGTCGCGCACATCCAGGGTCGCGATAATCAAAAGCTGCATCAGCGCCGTACTCGCGGACAAGGTCGAAGTTCTTAGGCGAGCAGGTAGTCAGGACTGTGTATCCAGCCCTAAAAGTGTACATGGTTAGTGTTCTGCCCCTCACCGGAACATAGCAAGGGAGACAACTCACAGTTTCGCAACTTGAATCAGCCAGCATCCTGAGGCGGTGCTTCCGCCATATATCAAAATGGTGTCATGATTCTCCCCAGGAGTGAGAAACCGGGGCCATGGCAAATTAAGGCCGGATGGCCCAAAAAGACACTGTCCCGCGGCAATGGCTCCGACGCCCACGGTGGCTGCATCCTCGAAAGTCACCCCATCGGGAATGCGTATCTGGACGGCAGCTTTGGCCACAACATACTCTGCAAAAGTACCGCTCTCGGGGCGGGTTCTATCTGCTCCCTTGACAAGTCCACACACACGGTCCCCGACTCTGTACTTCTCTGAGGCGGATTGCCCAACCTCGACAATGGTGCCGGCATAGTCATGGCCCATGACTGCGTTGGGCGACGGAGTGCTTCCAAGAAGCATCCAGTCAATAGGATTCAAGGCCACAGCGGCAGTGCGAATGAGGATTTCATCGTGCCGGGGAGTCGGGATGGGTTGGTTGGTGACGAAGGCTGCGTGGCCTAAAGATAGGGTGATGACCGCTGCTTGGGTGGACTGCATATTGAAATATGATGGTTGAAAGAGAACCAGATGTCTTGAGTCAACTGAAGGGCATAATTAACGCCAGGGTAGTAGCATTTTCTACCTTTATATACAGAAATAATTTGGGTAGCTTACAATATCTTTAGTGATGATGGGCTGTATGGGACCCACTTTCCTCCGCAATGGCTGTCAACTGGCCGGGGCATGACCCGCATAGCCCCGTCAATGTCCACTCATCTTCTGAGGGATACGAGTCTCCATTTCTTCCGCTTTGATAGGTAGCATGCTGACCAGCAATTCACTCTTCTGAGAGAAAGGCTATCATTATCACTACCGGCTAAATTTATTCATCGCAGATTGACTATACTCAACTACCGAGTATGTTCCTGTGCACGGTGTCCAATCCTTTGCATGCAACCAGCAAAAGGAATTTGAAGTCATCTACATGAAGCAGTTCGCCTTGTTCCCAGACACCCACGAGCTCGTCGTAAGACACAATTTTGGATGCCGATTGCGTAGTCAATTGCTCTTCATCAAGACTCCCAAAATACAAATTCGTGTATGACTGAGTAGAGACCGGCAGCCCAGCCAGATATTTGATAAAGTCGCATCTGTGAAAGTGAACCACAGCATGAACAGCCCGCACCAGATATGACACCAAGATAAGTCGCCTGGCATTTTCACAGAGATCCTTGCTCTTAAAAAGACTTGGGGAGGATGTGTGCCGAAGTTCCAACTCTCTGCGTTCTAGGTCGGCTGTGCCCTGTGCTAACTTGTAGTCCAACTGTATAAACAAAGACTGATCACCAACACCACCCGCGAGGAAGAGAATAAAGTAGAGAATCAAGGCCTGGAGATGATCCAGTTGATCCTGCAGCTCCGCCTGCGGTAGGTTACCCATACCCGCATTATTGACGCCTGCCTTCAACAGCTGGAGGTAGAAAGGCTGGGTTGCATGCTGGCAGGTGCGATATGCGGCGCACACTCCGTAGGCTTCACGGAGAATAGGAGAAAGTTCCCTTTTAGAATCGGTGGGTGACTCAATGAGAGGCAGTGTACCGGTGTTCAAGAAGTGATCGACATAGCCTAGAAATGTTCGGATGCAGAATCGCCAGGTTTGCGTATCATTAACACGGGGCCAAAACTCCAAGACTCTGCGTTCCAGCCGTGGCAGCAAGGAGGATGATAGTCCATCTATTGCCCTTGTGTTAGACAACCACTCATCCGGTTCTATGGCCCAGGCCTGAGCGGGGCTCGTCGGACCGTCCGGGAACCACTGCAGTGGGTCGATATATTCCTCTCCGGGATAGAGGATCGTAGATCGGTCTATGCAGCTATCTACAATCATGATGTCGCTGACTCCCAAGATACCTGAGTCGCTTGCAGTGCTGACATTTGCAATCTGATCCTGTGTATTCTGTGGAGGCGGATATGGGTACTGACACGCAGCGTTCTTCTTCCGACACCGGGCGCAAGTGGGCCTATCCAGGTCGCACCGACGCTTTGCTGCAACACATGATAAACAAGATGTTTTTCGAAGGGACATGGTTAAGTCCGCTGTCGTTATAGTGATTCGACTGCGCTGGTTGCGGGGTCTTGAAGTTCTTAGCCTCCGGCTTATGCGTCGCGGTTGAGTTGCGGACAAAAGTGGATCTGCGGAGGAGGGTGGACCACTGCTATCATCTGACATCAGCCAGAGAGCAGATCCCTCTGTCTTACGAAGTATTATTTAATATGACACGAAAAACATGAATGGAAATATTTCCCTATGGTTAATAGCCGATCGGGAACCTATACATCTAGGGGTATTGGTATTTTTGTTATAGTAACCGATACAACGAACCCTAACACTCTCACCCTTACCAGGGTGTCCTAATATGCAGTTCTAAGTCGCCTCTCGTCTTCGTAATCAGGTTTAGTAGAAAGTGTTCCATAAGTCCATCAAGTCCAAGTGTCTGGGGCCCGCCTTTCAGTGTGACCATCTCCACTGCTGCGTCGACGTGATGCTTGAGCATTTTTGTATCACGAACATATAACTATACACTATTAGCACTCTCCGCGAAAGGTCGAAGTAAAAGAACTTACTTCGTCATACGCTAGCATAATAGCTTTCGCGACCGTTGAGTCACTCAGTAACGGCATCTCAGCCGATATAGCATGCCTTAGTGCATGCAGACTCTGGGATTTATAATGAAGAGTCAATTGTTGGAAGATATGCTGCTGTTCCTGAGAGCCCTGTCCATATGCAATAGACAAGTGACGGCATGCAGCAAGCAAGATGATATCGAGAAGACTTGACTCGGTGATCGCAGTAGGAACCCAGAGTCTGATCATGCGCTGCGCGAAGAAGATCGCGCTCTCATTGCAGCGCATCAGAGGGATGACGACACTGACGTCTTTACCATAGATTAGCAAACTTAGTATCTTCTGGACTTGGAGGTCATACAATGATCAAAGAGAAATTGCTCTAATGAGGTTAAGCCCCTAGCAAAGCTATGAAAAGGGTCTCGCCTATCAGCCGAGAGGATTGTGACAACTCCAGGTGATACACTGTCTCTGAAGCTAGGATAACTACTGAATACACTGTCTCGTGTGTCTCTCCTCCCCCGCTTCTGTGCCTGATACTCTATCATCCGCCGATGTCGGACGCGGGCATGCGCAGAGCGAGCGGCATGTGAGCGAGTAATCCGTTGTTGTGACTCTGTCAATGTAGCCTTCTCTTTCGGAACAAGCGTGACATTGATAAAAGGTAGTTCCCGCTCAGCCATCCTGTAGAAAAGACAATCAATGAAATATTGTCTCTCAAGGGTGAGCCACACAATGTTTATGATGACATTTTGAGATGAAGCTGGGCAGCTGACATGGCTGACAAAGCATCTATTATCAAACTTTGCCAAGACCTGCGCCTGCTCAAAGAGGCTTAATGCTTATTTTGGATAGACTCAGCTTCGTGATTGGCTCAATGTGCACTGTTGATGTCGTATAGATAGATTCTGCCATGTATGAGAGATATTGTACTAGGAAAGGGGGCATGAAGGACGAATATAAAAGCATCATGTCCTCCCCTTGCTTCATCAGACTTCGTTATATCGTTCCCTCTTTGAACTCAAGTCTTCAGGTTATCCATCGATTCCATCATGGAAGGAACAGTCCTTATCACCGGCGCAAACGGCTCTCTTGCCCTAGGCTTCATCCAAGCCTTACTATACCTCCATCCCCATATGGCCCTGATCGCCACCGTCCGGAACCCCTCTCCAGACCAAGACCCAAACACCGCGAAACTCCTCAACCTAGTTGCCTGCTACCCTAAAGCGAACTTCCACCTGGAGGCCCTCGATCTCGGCAACCTTGCCAGCGTCCGCTCCTTCGCAGATCAACTAGCCGACAATATAACCTCCAAGAAGCTTCCACCCATCTCAGCAATCATCTGCAACGCCGCCACCTTCTCCTTCGAAGCAGGACAGGTCTTCACGACGGATGGTTACGAAGCTACCTTCCAAGTATGCCATCTGTCTCACTACCTCTTGATCTTGAAACTTCTCGATAGCATGAACAAGACATCCGGACGTATAGTCCTCCTTGGCTCAGTCACCCACTACCCCGAAAAACCCAACCCGCTTTGTTCTCTGAGGCCGGGGTTTCCGGAGAATATTGATGATTTGGTGCGTCCGCCGCCGGATCCAGAAAATCTTGTGCATGATAAAGGGTTCCAGAGATATGGTACTGCAAAGCTGGCGAATGTTACGCTGGCGATGGATTTGAATCGCAGGTTGAAAGAGGTATGTTGTTTTAATTCCCCATAGGAGAAGGGGAAGGATTGACGTTGGGTTTTGCAGGACGATCAGTTGTCCGGCATTACTGCGCTTGCCATGGACCCAGGCGGTCTTCCGAGTTCGAGGGCGCAGGCGGGACAGAAAAGGTCGGCGCGGTGGTCGTTTAGGATTGTTGAGTTTCTGATGCCGGTTCTGCGGTATCTAACTACCATGTTTCGCACCATTGAGGATGCTGGGCGGGATTTAGTGGCTGTGAGTGTTGGGGATGAGTTCCGAGGGAAATCGGGGTACTATGTTGGGACGAAGGAAGGGGCGCCTGCGGCCATTAGTGAGGATCATGAGGCACAGGAGAAATTGTGGAAGAATTGTTGGAGGTGGGCATGTATGCGGGCTGAGGAGACTGTGCTTCGAGATGCTTGATAGATAATTATCGCAGGACAAAATAAAACTAAGGACGTGTTTGTGTTTAATGTCGAAATATATATTCTCGCTCTCAAAAACGTGTACATATTCATAGGGCATTATGTAATTTGCTGGTATCAAACTGAGTAGAAAAGACAAAACTTATATCCGGAATGCCAAAAAAGCAACCAGCGCCATGAAAAGCGAAGCAGAAGCAGATGGTATGACAGAGTGGCTTCCACCAGACGACGAAGAACCCACAGCAGAAAGCCTCAGCTCAGAATACGTCACATTGGAGGTATTGTAGCCACACAGCCCACTTCCCGGCATCATTGCAGCGGGAAAGAAGACTCGAGGCTCGCCCTTGTCCATGTCCACGACCAATTGGCTGTAGGTGTTGACCGTATAGTTGACGCAGTTCAGCACTTCCGTGACCACCTCGCTAGCCCCATAGCTCATAGGTAGCGTCAAAGTATAAGCCGAACCATTGGAGCCCGCCGTAGATAAGACCATGATGACTTGGCGTCCGTAGGTGCCCTTCCAGAAAGCCAACTCGCTACCTCCCTGGTAAATCGGGTATGTTTTTGAGTTGATGTAACTGGAATCAAGGTTAATGGCATGTTTGCGGATGGCATTGAGTTTCGCAATGTGTTTATACAGCGTCGCATTGGTGTCGAAATCGGTCAACCAGAGGGCCGCTCGGTTGGAATAGGCAATGGCTTGCTCCAGACCTTGGTAGACCAAGGGAATGCCGTCGTAGAGCATCATGAAGGTTAGTGCAGTTTTGGCTAGCATGATATCGTCATTCATGTAGGCCCATCGGTCCACGTCTTGATCTTCGATGAAATTGACCATTGCGAACGTGTCCGTGCAGAGATCGTTGATCGTTGCGATTTCCTCGAGCAAGGTCGCAGGCTCTCCGTTCAAGAAGGCCGTGATCATAGAGTAATAGAGGGGGTAGTTGGGAAGACTTGGCAGGTAATCTCTCTGGTACTTGCACACGTTGGTGGCATTCGAATCCATGACTTCGCCCGTCATGAATCCGCCCACGGTTTCCGCATATGTAGGCAGAAAGCTGGGAGTGAGGGATTTGGCAGCGTCGATTCGTAGCCCGTCAATGGAGTAATTGCTAATGACCGATTTACTCCAGTCCATTAAGATGTCCTGCACCGCGGTATGCTCTGTGTAGAGATCCGGGAGTGCGGTGTAGTTGTCACCAGTCTGACACCACTGGGCATCCGTATAGTTGTTCCAGTTCGTAATGAGGCAGTAAGGGTGGAAGTATGAGGATCCATTGAATTGAGGAAAGACATTGTAGTCAATAGTTGTCGCAGGATCCTCCCCGTCCGTCATGTAAGCCATGTTGTTGATGACGACGTCCAGCAGCAAGTACATGTCTCGTGCGTGGATCTCCTCGCTCAGCTTCAAAAGCTCCTCCCGGGTCCCGAAATGAGAGTTGATCTCGTATAGATCCAGAGGCCAGTACCCATGGTAGGCCTCCCCGTCCTTAGATCGCCCCGCAATGTTTTTAATTACAGGGGAGATCATGATAGCATCGAACCCCATGCCTTGAATGTAGTCCAGCTTATCGATCGTCCCCTGCCAAGACCCGCCACAGTAATTGGCTTCCGTTGTATTGCATGGTGCGGTGGTCGAGCCGTTGGTGAGGGCAAACCGATCGGTCATTGTCTGGTAGATGGATCGCGTCTTCCATGCTTCTGTGCTTGCGGCTGTCGCTAGCGAAACGCACCAGCACAGGAGACAGACGGCCATGAGCCGTTGGCCCAGGAGGGAAGAGAATTTTCGAAACATAATTGGCCGTAACTACCCTCTATGCCCCCTTGTGGAGGTTCTGCTTCCCGTTGGGTGGGTTTAGGGTGACCGAATGAATTATGACAAGCAACAGCTTACTCTAACGAATGTGTTTTAAGCGTTTCAACTTCACGCGATCCAGCCAAACGGGCCGCTGAGCATGATGTTGAGGCCGGATACGCTGTTCCCGTTGCAATAACGGGGAAAAGAAAGAATGACAAGTCAAAGCAACGCGACTCAGGGGGGCGGAACCCCCGATAGCTATAGCAAGAGATAAGAGCGCCAGACCGGGGGCTGCAGAAAAAGGCCGGTCGAAGCCGGAAGTACCATAAATAGGTAGTCTCTCCCCCACCCTCGGTCACATCGTGTGCCCGGAGCCCTATCCATCATACTAGTCAACACCCAACGAGAACCAAAAATAAAGACGACATCTAAATCTGTAACGCTCGATGGTACTATACTCTACTAGTACTCCAGTTCACCCGAACATTCGAGAACGGGTAGCAGCGTTAAACACGAAGATCCCCTGGGATTGTCGCGGGAGATTGACTGATTATCGTGAGGGCAGGGCTACGCTGGAGGGTGAAGTGGACAAGGCAAATTAACTTCCCACTTTTCGGCTGGGAGAGCGTTCAAGCGTCAAACAGCTGATTGGTGTGATAGTGACGAGGCCATGCGTGGTCCAGTGGCAATTGCGTAAGTCTGCCGGGCCGGCCCCCACATGCCTTGTCATAATGTTTGGATGCAGTGGAGTCGATGCCTTGGTTTGTGGTTAGTTGTTGGTTAGTTCCTGCTTAGTTCCTGGTTAGTGCCGACAACAGCCTTTCATAGGACGGTGGTCATCTCCACTCGGCCACTATCTTCGAATAGAAGCTTTGCCGGCCAAGCGGCTAAAATCATAAGTCCGAGCCCGGCCAGGCACAGCGAAATAGAGCAGCCCCTAAACCTGACATCCGAAAAAGCCACTCGGACTTGCAGGGAAAATTCTGCCACGCCGTTGGCTCCAGGCAGCTGTCCAATTTCCCACCATAATCTATCCGGGCGGGGTTTGGGTGTGTTCACCATGCAGGAAAGCCAGTTTGTGTAGTGCCTGACTTGAGCCAGGAGAAGGGGGCCCAGTATCTACTCCGTATGCCCTCGATCTTGAGATTGACATTGAGATTTCGGATGATCAGAGGATTGACCGGGCTAAATTTGGTGTTCGGGCGTGGGTACTAAATCATGTTGCCATGAGGCCGTGCGGAACACCTGGAGAGTACGTATGGCCTCGTAATCAGTGGCTCGATTTAGGCCCAGCAGGATAGGCCAGTCCTGGCCAAGACTTATCACTGGGGCAAGTCGCCTTATCGATATGTGATGGACACAAGCTGGAAGCCACGAGAACACTTATCAGTCGTTCTTTTGCTGGGGGCGCAGTTGGCTTTGGTCTCCCCCATATTTGGCTTCTTCGTTTCCTCTGACTTGTCTTACTTTAATTTCTTTCCGTCGTTTTTATTCCTAACCATTCCCAACTGAAGACTTCATCCGCCCAATTGTTCATCCTTCGTTTGCATTCTGCTTCTTCACTCGTTTTCACCTCTACACGCCGTTCGTTCCGGACCACTCGGTCGCCACTCTTGGTCTTTGTCTAGCTTTGCTTGTTCAGAAAAAGGCACCCCTATTATTGTCTCTCGTTTTCTGTCTCGAATTCTGTAAGCCTTTCGAAAGTGCGTACTTATGACTGGCTCGTAGAAAAGCTTGGCCTTTTGTGATTGAACTGCGAAAAGAGGCCTGTTGCGCTTCAGCACAACATGAAGCGGGTGCTCGCTGGCCTCGTCCTTGCCTCCACGGCATGGCAGGCTGTCGCTTGGCCCTACAATGCATCACTCGCAGATTACAATCTGAACCAGAACAAAACTGCGACAAATCCTGCAGATTATTGGGGTCAATGGCCAAACCACACCGGCGATTATTTTCCATCTCCGGATAACTGGCGATTTCCGTTTTACACCCTGATGCTTGATCGCTTTGTGAACGGAGATCCGACGAACGATAATTACAACAATTCAGTATGGGAACACGATATTTGGTCAACACAGATGCGTCATGGCGGAGATGTAGTTGGTCTTATCGATACGCTTGATTATTTGCAGGGAATGGGCATCAAGGTCGGTCAAGGGAACGGAATCCGATTGTCGGAAATCGGGTAGGTGAGGTCGATTGCTGATCAGTTCGGGTTCTAGGGGATTTATCTGGCTGGCACAGTTCTCATGAACCAACCCTGGGGATACGATGGCTATTCGGCACTGGACACTACTCTGCTGGACGGACATTACGGAAATCTAGCACAATGGCGACATGCAATCACCGAGATCCACAATCGTGGCATGTACGTTATTTTCGACAACACGCTTGCGACGTATGTGCTCCTATTGTCCCCCATTGCTAATTCCCATGCGATGGGCAATCACAGTTTTAAGAAATGTATCTAACGAGGCTTCCATAGAATGGGAGATTTGATCGGATTCGAGGGTTACCTAAATACCTCGGCACCTTTTACAGTGGACGAGCATAAAGTCGAATGGAAGACTGCTCGGCGATACGTGGATTTCGATTTTGGTAACACTTATAACGAGACGTGCGATTATCCCCGATTTTGGTATGAAAATGGTTATCCCGTCCAGAAGACGGTCACCGACTCCCTGGTTGGCTGCTACGACAGTGATTTCGATCAATACGGTGATGTCGAGGCCTTCGGAGTGTTTCCAGACTGGGAGCGAGAATTGGCCAAGTTTGCTTCTGTGCAGGACCGCCTGCGTGAGTGGCGCCCGTCAGTCCGAGACAGACTGATTCGCCATTCGTGTCTGGTGATATACCAGCTTGACATCGATGGTTTCCGCTACGATAAAGCCACGCAGGCTACAGTTGATGCTTTGGGTGATATGTCAGCTGCTTATCGCGAATGCGCCCGGGCAGTAGGAAAGGAGAATTTTTTCATAGCCGGAGAAATTACTGGTGGAAACACCTTCGGATCAGTCTATTTGGGGCGTGGTCGGCAACCTGATCAGTATCCATCTTCGATTGAGGCTGCCATGAATCTCACGAATACCTCGGAGCCGCAATACTTCCTGCGAGAGGAGGGCATGAATGCCATCGATGGCGCCGCATTTCATTATTCGATCTATCGCAACCTCGAGCGGTTCCTAGGGATGGATGGCAGTTTGTCC